ATATATATATATATATATATATATATATATATATATATATATATATTATTCACTAAAGGTAACCAAATGAGAATACCCCTTCACCTTTTCCGGTTTGCAATCTAGTAACTTGTGAATTCAAAGATTTGATAATTAAATTAATTGAAAATATGTTGTGGCCTACCAAACATTACAATTATATATAATCGCCCTCTGCACGATGATAATAACATTTTAATTATGTATGTTCTGGTATTATAAAAAAATCCCATTAAAATTCTATTTCCTTTTTATCTAATATTATCGGTTTAAAAAACAAGACAACTTTACACAATATTTTTAAAAATACGTTATTTCTTTACATAATACTTTTGTATATTTTTTATCTTATATTTATTATTTTTCTCTCTTATCACGTTATCTCTCATCGAGTTTATCTCTTCTCTCCTATTAATTTTCTACATAAAGAACAACAGAATCCAAAATAGAAATGCTATAAATCTCAGAAAATTCTAACCAATCTATATGGAATTTGGAAATAAATAAGTTACATCCAAAATCTGTCATTTATTTAAGGTATTTAGAGTTTATTTCATAATAGTCCTTACATTTGATCCATATTGTTGGTTTATATGCTATATGATGTTCTACAATACAACTATCGACATTTTCATAAATGGTTCCATGAATGAAGGTTTCTTTCATTGTTTATTTGGCATATTTGATGAATGATGAAATTCATGATTCGTTATTAACGATCCTAAATTTTGTTATCGCGTATCATTGTGGAAATAATGATATATTAAGACTAGCATTAGGCATGATAGATGATCATGAAGATGATCATATGTATTGGATACAGATCATAGTTATTGGTACTTATTTGTAATGAAGTATTGGATGAACCAGAAATTGTCATTTGGACATGAGTCATTATTTGAATCTCACGTGATAGTTCACTTTTGGATCGTATGACCTAAGATGTCTATAGTATCTACTATGAGAAGTGGTGTACTTTGATTGCGTCAAATGTTTTGCATAACATGAACACTATAAAGACGTTTTTGGGTACAACACAAATCATGTGCATGGTAGTAGATAGTCAAAATGATATTTTACCTCTCGTCCTGAGAGAGATATCGTTGGACCCATTGAGTGAGTAAAACTGTGGAAATGTGTGGCCGCACTATAGATGAACGTCAACTATTATTTACAGTTAACTCAATCAACGAGAAATCGGTTGAATCTGATAAGATAGCTCATTCCATCCCTTATGCTCAACAAACGATCTTGAATTCTCCAAACCGAGCCACTGAGATGTGAAGCAATCTTTAGAAACGATCTTTGTACAACCGATAGTTTTCACCTCTTATAATGTCTATCCCTCCATCTGTATATATTTATCATTTATATTTTTGTCATGATAGTTAGTATCATCACCATCTCCACATTCGCCATCGATAAAAACCCGTGTAGAAGTCCGAGTCGTATAACTAGCTAATGGGTTTGTTTGTGTCCTGATGATTTCCGACGAATCTATAGAGTTCGGCTCTAGATAATACAATCGATCCATATATTTGTGGTAGTCGCATCTAGAAAATTAAAATGAGATGAGATCACAATCCTAGATTTACCACCATCAAAATTCATATTTTTTTTATTCATTTTATTATCTTTATTATGTTTTCATTTTATATCTAAACTCTATAAAATTTTAATGGTCATGGTCTGGACGATATAGACTTGATCTTTTTCTTTGTTTATTTTAAATATTCAAATTGATGGTAGTTATGAAAATTTCATTACTATTGGATATCAAAATGTAAAATATTATAATGTATTCCGAAACACATCTTTTTATATATTTTGCAATTATTAAATATAGATACATGGAGAACCTAGAAAAATCTATAAAAGATATAATTTTATAGAATCAAATTTTATTTTTATGGGGCATTTGATAATTTTACTCATATTTTTTTTTATTTAATTTCAAGAGGGTCTGTGACCCCATCCCGTTTTATGTTGATACAATAATAATAATAATAATAATAATAATAATAAATTGATGTCGACGGAAGGAAAAAAGTTAAAAGGGAATAAAAAATAAAATAAAAAATCTTATTGATAATGACATATCGAAAATATCCCATACTGAGTTTGCTTACATAAAATATCGGACAGTGCAAGAGCTTTGACTTATTGATTTGGATAACAATGTAACGTGCCCACGATTTTTGATGGGCCATCTCACTCTTCCCATACAACTTTGCTTTACATCCAAATCGAATTTATTACATTTTCGGCGATTTTAATTTTGATTTTTGTTTCTCGTATTTTATTTTATTAATTGTCAGAACGGTGGATAATCCATTAATCTCTAATCATATTCATATAATACCTTTAGGTTCAAATCTCTAATAATATTCACATAATCCACTTGCTTTTGTAAAATTCGATTTTGGAATTGTTTATATTTAATCGCTTGCGATTTTGGCTTTTGTGCCAGATTAATGGGATTAGACACGTTCAAACTAAACTGAAATAAAACTAGATTCGATTTATTTTCAATTTGACTTAACCGAATCAAAATAAAAATCAGATTCAATTTGGCCGGCCGGTTTTGTCAAACCAAAACGGAAAACTCACCAATGCCGCACATTTAACATTTCAAATTTTCTTCAATTTTCATGGGGTCAATGCCTAGATCACGTTTCCTACATAACCGGATAACGAACCGAATTGAATAAGGCATAAACGTAATCGAACCGAATTCGATATAAAAATTGAATGATTATGATTTCTCTAAACCCGAAAAAACGAAACCAAAACCAAAGTGAACCGATTAAAAGAATAATAAAAAAACCGATAATTTTTAAAAAATGAGTTTTTTACAATAAAAAAACCGAATTCAATCCGAACAAAAAAAATAATCAAACTGAACCGAACCAAAATTTATATAGAAACCAAATGGTTATAGTTTTTCTATACACGAAATATCCGAACCGAAATCCGAAAGGACCGCCCCTACGATAGAACGGAAATTCATAAAAAAAATCTAAGTATTCGAACTAAATCATAAAACCTAAACCGGGAAAATATTTCCTAAACCGAAACGGTTTCAAGAAAAATGAGTAAACCTTATAAATCCCCGAACATCGAATAAGGTGGTGAAATTATATAAAGTTTTCATTTATATTAGTAGAGTAGCAAACAATTTCTGGGACCAAAAGCACACAAAGAATCATGGGTTATTGGGATTATCTTTGCTTTCCAAATATCTTTTCACGCACGTTTTGCTTGTCTCAAAGATAAACGCCATTTCTCGTATCTGCAAGTTTAAAAAAAAAAACATGATCATATCCTGATTGATATATATATATATATATATATGTATATGTATATGTATATACCTCGATCAAGGCATCGTTCTTGAGCTTCTTAACCGTTCCGTATCCGAATTCTTCGCCGTTTACAGATATCGGAAATTTCCCGAGATTCTTGATGTAGAATGATCCGTCATTCTTCAAGCTTATCAGAGCCTGAAACATTACAGAACACAAGTCCTTGATGGCGTTTCGATGGTTTGAAGAGAACTCAAAACCGCATCTGCAAGAAAGCCGAACCTGTCGTCGAGACACTTTTGTTATAGTCCCCGATTTTCCTAAATCGATATCTATCGGGTACTCTCCCGTTGCTCTCCCGAGCAATACCTGCAATGCTCGAATCAAGATCGTTAACAAACCGATGTAAACTAGTTTAGGCTTTGATCAGTATCAAGAAACGAGTATATATATATACACACCTCGGGTTTCTTGATGTAATATCTCGAATTCTCTCCGTATAAGATTGCGAGAGCTCCACGAGAGACGAGCTCTCGTTCCATATGAGAGCGAGCGCTTTGCTCTAAGCGTATGATCGCTCTTCTTACGTCTTCATTCTGATATTTTGCAACTAAGTTTCGGAAGAAAAGCACAAAATTTGTTAATGGTTGAGTCAAGAACAGATGGGAAATTGTCGAATTTCTCGTCAAAATGTTTGTGTGAATGATTTACCTTCCGACTCATAAAGATCTTGAACAGCAGGAGCAAGATCCATATCGAGAATCTGGCGTTTAAAACGGAGAACAATCAGCGAATCAAATGAATAAAAACCGACCACAAATTCATGCAGAAACACGAAAACCTCTGAGGTTACCGTACCATGGCCTCAACACTTATAGAGCAAGGCAAGTAATCGTCATCGCTCTCAACGGAATCGTCCTCCGGTCCCATGGCTGAAGCGTTTGCATCGTTGACTGCGTTCTGTGTTTGGCGATCTCGAAGAGGGTCTTCTTCCAATTTCTCGTCACGATTTATGGCAACAGCAGGATTCTCCATCATAGTTACCTTGTCGTGGAAGGTGGAAGGAGGAAACCCGGTGCTCTTACACGCCATTCTCAGGCATTCTACATTTCTATTACTCGAGCCATTATTAGTAGGATTGATCTCGAGATTCTTGGCTCGGGATTTTGCTCTTTGAGGAGGAAAAGACGGCTTCCCAAGTTTCTTAGTAGCCAAGATCTCTCCAGAAGAGGTATGAGAGGATTTCCTAGCTTTAGGGTTCTGCGGTTCTGAAGGAACATGATCATTCTCCGGAATCTCATCAGATTCCCGGTTTATCGAGCATACAACAACACCGTCGCAATATTCTGGATTCAGATTCCAATCATGTTTCGTTGAAAGATCATTGTTATGCACTCCACAACCAGACACAGCATCTTTCTGACATTCCCGAGCTACATGTTCTGTCGTAGGAGCTGTGTTTTGTTGATTACTGTCGTTTCCCTTCAAAGGGTCTTCCTCGTCGTCGTCGAGAAGAGATTTCGTTAGCTCTTTGATGTAAGGATCAATGTCTAATGTAGGATCTTCAGGCTCTACCGTTTGCATAACACATTCTGATGCCTCAGTTATCTTATCATCGATTGCTTCTTCGGTGTCAATATCAAGAAGATAAAGTGACTGTTGCTGATCATCAACCAGGGGAACGGGTCCAGACACTGGAAGCAGCGGAACATACACTTGGTCATGTCCGAAACCCGGACAAGGATTCTCAATCTGTTCTGCGACTTCACCAACCTGAAAAGGATGATTCACCATTTGATCATCAAGGAAAAAGTCATTATTCCCAACAAAAGAAAGATTCAGTGGAAGACCACTCCCGAGTTCTTCGTTATCGCAACCCGACTGCAAGAAATCCATGGAATTATCTTGTGGAATGTCCTCCAAAACATCTGGAAAAGCATTGTTGATGATTTCAGCGAAGGATTCATCGAAATTGAGGTTACTGAAGATATCATTGTTCAAAATGTCTTGTCCGAACAAAGGATCCTCGGAACTTCCAATGCCATTGGCATCGTTAGGGCCAACAACGTAGTTTAGATCTTCCGTTGGATCGAAAGGCTCGACCCGTGATCTCTTACGCACCGCGGAGTATACAGATCTGACTCTTTCGGTGTTACCCTTCGGAGGAAAACTCAGTTTCTCGGGTAAATGAGATGGAACCGATGAGAGCTCGGATATACGGGAAGCGGCCTCGGATGAGATTATCGGATCGTAGAGCAGAGAATACCATCGATCTCTCAGTTCCGTGAGCGTGAATTTTCGTGAAAACGGGACTGCCCCTTTGGCAAGTGATTCCAGTGAAGCTCCTGCCTGAAAAACACACAACATCGGTACCGATTACCAAACCGTAAATCCACCCGTAGAAACACAACATTAATTCATGTCATATACAACTATCGGAATCCTCCGAAACATGATGCAGTGTCTTGTCTTCGCCACTGCAAGAGGCGACTCAGAGATTTAGAGAGCAAATATCATGATATATATATATATATATATATATATATATACACACACACATATATCGACTAAGATCGCGTTAACGTTAAGAAAATCAGTAATTAACCATATGTAAAGATTAGGAAACTGAAAAACTCTCTGCAACTAAATAATCACAGACGGCTCTTTAACTTTTAACTGCATAAACCCTAAAACACAATTTCCAAACAGTGCGATGACTTGGGGAACAAGCATGCGTTGTCATAAACTAACACACAGCTGAGTAATGGAGAAATCTAGGGTTCATCCCTACTGTTCTACTAGAGGAAACCAAATTAAAAAAAAAAAAAAAAGAGAGAGTACAAATTGAGGAAAAAAAAAGAAAAACCCAAGTCAAAATCAAACAAAAATACCTCGATGGCTTTGATTAATCGATAATCATCTTCGAGAGTCCATGGAGAAACCGAATTGTGAGAATCCATTGTTGAGAAGCCCGAGTTCAGAAAGAAGGACGAGAAGGGTCTTTTGATTAATAATCTAAAAAAAAGGAAAATTTTCTAAACAAATATACGAAAAAAGAACTTAATGCTTTAAATTAGGGTTTATGAGCCAATAGAAACTCTGTCTTCCATTATATTTCCATTTTTATCTCAGATGCTTTTAGGAAAATTAATGATTTGTTTCTATCTCGGTTTAGATTTATTTTTGTTTTTGGACGCGATCCCGAATTTATTAACTTTATTTTTTAAATAATAATCACTTTTATTTATTTTAAAAACGTTCTTGCTGCTTTTAGTCTTTATGAAACTTTTTTTTAGTGTTTTTGTAAAATTAAATTTAGAATATATTATTAATTTTACGGCAAAAAAAACAATATAGTAATATAATTATATAGGAAATATACATACGTAATTAATTTTGTACAATGTTACATAAGAACTTTCAAAAGGACAGAACAAAAGAACATAAAAAGATTGTGTTGTTTCACTTCCTGCCTTCATTCTTCACGCTTATATGATTTTGAGAAAGTCCATTAGGATGTTTATCCGGCCCATTTAATCTCGGCCCATGAGCATTTGAATTGATGAGGTGTATTAACCCAAACCAACAATAATGTCTTGAAAATCAAATTCAAATAACTTAATTAATCCATTTATACCCAATTAATCTATTGTCTAATTGATTTATTATAACATATGTACGATGTATGATCTTTTATTTTATTCGGGTTTGATTCGGATTCAATTATTATGTATGATTTCGTTGGATTTGAATTCGATCAAATTCGGTTTCTACACATGATTTGGTTTGATTGGGATTCAATCTCTAAATTTCCATTAAAGTATATGATTGGTTTTGATAGATTTAATATGATATGAATTATGTGAATAATTTATGTATTTTTAATTTTAATAATAATACGAAGAGAAAAATGTTCTCCCCTCCATCTTTGAATTTTATATAATTGAAAAGTGATAAATACATACGCGATGTCAGATGGATCCTATATAATGTATTAATATTTATTTCCATTACAACCAAAGGCATGAATCATTTGGATAGCTTCCTTTGATCTCCTTTCTTTCAGTTGGATCATATACTTTATAAGTGGATGTTTTCGTAATTGTTCGGTTCGATTTTTTCGATTATATAAAAATATATATTCATCGGATATTATATCATAGTTGATTCGGTACTGTTTAATTTCGATTTTTATTAAAAAAATATATTTTTTATAAAAATTTCATTTTTTTTTTAATTCGATTCGATTACAAGAAATTCCGTTTTAGACGGTTTGATTCTGAAACTATATCAATTTTTTCAATTCGTTAAAGTTCGATCCCGAAGAACCGTAGGCCCACCCCTGCTTGATAATAGAATTTGGTAAAAGCTCTGTTTAACCGTGATTTTGGAAACGCCGGCTGCGGTCTAATGACATCCATCTGGACCGGTTTGGTTACATTTGGTTTAGATTTGGTTATATGTGAATTCTTTTGTACTATTCATTCAAATAAAAAACCTAAACATTTATACAACTCACACAAATAAAACCGAACCAAGCAAAATCAAACCGCTC